TACAGAGTTTTGCCTCCAGCTGGAATTGAACCGTTGACCTTGTCTGTGGAGGGAGGGGCGCCTAGACCACTAGGCTACGGGACCCCATCCCCATGATGGTTTTTTTTTGTTATAATGCTCGCTGATTTAGTCGGAATTATGTTCTTTCGGGTAAATGGCTTTCATCAGTATAATATAAATTATTGCGTTTTGCAAAAGGATATGAACGTAACTGATCGAAAATATAAAACAACTGACAATCAAAATCTCAGCAATTGGTTTAGAGAAAGGCATAGTTTATACTAAATTTTACAAAGAACCTTTGTTGTTAGAATCTTATAAGTAGCTTTATTAATAAAACAGGTTTTAGAAATACATCGTATATATGAACATAGTGTACAAATAGAAATTAACAATTTTTTATACGTACGTATTAAAATTTTATTAAGAATGTTCTGAAAGTCACAAAACAACACCTTTTTTTACGTAGCCCCTTTTTTTTAGTGACTTACTATTATACGAGGGTTTCGAAGTAGGTTACTCTGGAAGTTTACACTTCAATTATGATTTACAACATTGTTTGTCAATTATAAATAAAGGCAACCGGCTTTACACTTTACCGATTGTTGGCCCTAAAGATGGCATTTTGTCATACTAAACACATACATATCTATCAGACTTTAAGTAAATCATTTACTAAATAAAAACCACTCCAGTATAAACAACTTAAAAAAATTTCGTTATCTGTCAAAGATCGGTGTAACAGAAAATAATCAAAGCCAAAATACCGAAATTTTTTAGACTAGTGACGGGGGGAGGGTAGAGATGGGAATATCGGTATTCCGAACAATTCCGAGCTTCCGAAACATTCCGCCTGCGCAGTGCTCCATCTCTAGGGGAGGGTCTTTAAAAAAATTTCATAAGATCTGTGCAGTATATCAAACCGGCACTTTAATTTAGGGTCGGGTTAAGGTAGAGCGATAGCAAAAAGGTTATAACCAGAATTTATTAGGAATATTTTTGCTAGAACGCAAGTGAAGTTTTACAAGCAACATTTTGTGTTATATCTGATTTTTTGAAAAAAATTGTAATCGCTTCTAACGTTACACCCGACCAGTGACACAACCCAAAATAACAATTTTAGTATTGTACTTCAAGATCAGGTGTAGCTAATGTTATCCATCATATTACTATGATCGAGCTTCGGCAGAAAAAAAGTTTATTTTGGTTATTTGGCGACGTATGTACTTTTAAAAAAAATTTCAGAATAGATTGAAGCATTCGAATAGTTTAAAATTATCAAAGTACTTAAAATCGTCTCTCGTGTTTTAAAATTCACTAGTGCATTGAAAATAATTGCTCGTATTGTAGATTTCTAATAGTTTTAAATTTCTTTAGATAATCGAAGCATGTACAATAGATTTTCGTATTTTAAAATTCTCTAGATAAGGCAAAGCACTTGAAAGAGTTTTTTACGTTTTAAAATTCTCTAGACAAGTCGAAACACTTAGAGAAGTTCCTTTTTGTATTTTAAAATTCTTTTGATATTTTGTTTGTAATAAAAACTTTTACACTACTGCTCGTTCACATAACCCATTTTTTTTATATACATATTATCTTTTACTCGTTCCACGTTATGCCCGATCGTCGTAATCTGACAGATAATACCGTTATTTGGACACTACGCACCAATAAATGGCCAGAATTTGATCGGGAGATGTCTGGCCCCTGCAGAGCCCAGCCATCTCTCGGCCCAGTTATTCGTCATGTGTAATGATAATATCGTGCATGCCAGTTATTTAACATTAAGTTACGAGAAATTTGGTGTAACATAAAAGAATCAAAAACGTTCATAAACATTTACTATGAAACTGTTTTTTTGCACACTAACAAAAATTTTCTTCGCGAAAATTTAATAAAAAAGATAGCTCCTTCTACAATAATCAATACAGGATAATTCTACGTAAGAGTATATGTATATATTTTCAGAATCAATAGTAAAGCATAATTTAGAACCAAGTAATATAAATCTGACCAGCTGGTATATAGTCGAGAAAATCCGAGAAAGTAAATAGTTAGCCAACATAAGAGGCGCTAGAATTGCTCAGTAAGGATAATTAATCTTTCTGAATGATGGATCCAACATCTTCCTGTTATTATTGTAGTCGAAAGGTGGTCAGTTATCCCAAAAATTTATCCAAAAAATTATGTAGATCTAATACACTCTCTAATAAACCTCCTTCATCATGTGGAAACAAAGATATTGACACATTTATTCAAGACACAAAGTCTAGAAAACAACATTGCGATGATTTCGTTGAGTGGATACCTTATTCGGATATCAATATAGATAAGGCAATTGCAAAAGGATCTTATTCAGAAATATTTGTTGGTAAATGGGAACCATTAAAACAAATTGAAGTTGTCAATCATAAGGAATCAACAAATCTTGATATTGTTCTTAAAGTTTTGGCGGAATCTAAAAATTCTAAACCAGAATTTCTTAAAGAAGTAATTATAAGCATCAATAATTCGATTAAACTGTCATTCACAAACACCAAATAGTTAATTATTACAAAACGCTTATTATAGATCAAAATACACTATCAATGTCTGGGAAAATGTGCTATACCTTTCTATGGTTTAACCGAACATGCGCAAGGGTATGCGATGGTATTAAAACGCGCGATTTGCGGTGATCTTAGGGAATTTATTGACCATAATGAACTCACATGGATAAATAAAATAGAGGTTCTTTCTAGTATTGCAAAATCTTTAAATGCACTTCACGAATTAAATATAGTTCATCGTGATTTTCATTGCAAAAATATCCTCATTGACGATGATACAAAAGTATTTATTAGCGATTTTGGAATTTCAAGTTCCGAAGATTCTCCAAGTATTCTATTATTTATAAACTTAAACTACTTCATTTTATTATTATGCTGAATAAATTTATTTTTTATAGCGTCTAATGAGATTATTGGTGTTTTGCCTTATATTGCGCCAGAAGTTTTAAGTGGCGGACCGTATACAAAACAATCGGACATCTATAGTTTTGGCATAATTATGTGGGATTTAACATCTCGTAGTCAACCATTTTCGAACCAATCTCATGATTTAGATTTGGCTAAGAATATTGTTCTTGGTGGACTTCGTCCAGATGTTGTGGATGGGACTCCAGAGGCTTATAAAATGATAATGGAAAAATGTTGGGACTCAGATCCATCAAAAAGGCCAAATTCGTCGCAATTGATAGAATTAATAGAAAATATAATTAAGAATGTAAAACATTTAAATCAGCTTCCTTGCATTATTACTTCTAGATGTATACCACGAATAGGTAATTCATCATTTGATAATAGTTAAATTTAAAGGTTTAACTTATATAATTTTGCTATATACTTACAGTCAATATTCAAACGCGTTAACTCATTTCACAAAAATTGTTAATTAAATAGATTCCGATTTATCTTTAGACTATGGTAAATTCGATTATAATATTAGAGAGTAGAATGATTAGGGTTGCTTTTGCAGTTATAACTTTAATAGCGCACCATGGTGTGCCATTAAATTTTTATAGTATTTGTCAATAGTGCACCATGACCTGCACTAGCAACTCTAAGAATGATGCTTTTAATTTATTCTTTAACTGTCTCGTTATCATTGCGAAGCTTGAAATATACTACAATGTAGTTCGATATATCAGTCACAACTTGTGACCATTTGCAGGAAGATTTGCCCGCAAGACAGTTTGAAGAATAGCCAAAGTTCTAAAAATACATTTATTTTACAAAAAATTTTCAATTAAATAGATTCTAAATCATGCGCATCCTCAGCAGTAAATGGTAATGAATTTTAATTTTTAATAATTTTCTACTTCATAATTTTTTTTTTAATTCGTGATTTATTTCGAAAAAAAAAATTATCAATCAAATAGTGATGGTTTCCAACCGGATTACCTCAGTCATTCTAGGATTTGGTAATAAATTTTAAATTTCCAAAGATAATTTCTTTATTTCATATTTTTGTACCTTTTGAAATTTATTTCTAAAAAAAAAAAATTCAATTAATTAGATATCAACATTGGTAATGAATTTTAATTTTTGACGATGAATTTCTCGTTTTTTTTTTTTTCTTTAGGTTTATTTTATTTTATTTTACTTTTTTTCAATTCATTTATTTTATTTTATTTTATTTTTCTTAATGAATTCATCAAAGTGGAGACACCTGTTACTGTTGAAGAAACAACCTCTCCTGAAATCGTCACGGATCAAAAAGACGATTCTATTACCAATCAAAATATTGGCGCGATTGACAATTACGATGAGCAGCAAGGTTTCATAGTCCCTAATGATGAAGTTGTTGGGATAATTAGGATCTGTATTAAAAGTGCTAAAGGCCTCAAAAAATCAGATTTTTGGTTTGCCTGTTCTAATCCGGATCCGTATGTCCGCATTATGAATGCTGCCGGAACTGAAATAGTTCGTACTCGTGTTTGTCATGGAACTGTTACCCCCAAATGGGATGAAGTTCATTTTGTTTCTGTTTATCGTTCGTGCGAAAAAATTTCTTTTGAAATCTTTGACGAAAATCTTTTTGTATCGGACAAACCTCTTGGTACCTTTGTCTTGGATACTAATACTTTAATGAGAAGTGAAGACTATTCTAAACCTGTTAGTGATTGGTTCCCGCTTGAAATTGGCAACAAGTCAACTAAAGGACATTTAAATTTGGAAGTTCAATTTATCCACACCGCCTTTACTGATGATCAAGAATTTGTATTTAATCGAGAAACCATTAAACTCCATCACGTATATATGCTTATCAGCTGGCGCAAAGCAAATGGATCCTTTGAATTTACTGATAAATTAGCGCATTTCTTTAATTATAAATCAGTTGATGAATTGAAGGAAGGTTTCCTCAAGCACATATTTTCTGACAAGGAACTTTCAAAATGTGACTTGTCTATATTATCTACAGCTCTTACGATTATGTACCTCAAAATTTTGTGTTGGAAACATTATAATGAATGGAAACAAATTATCTCGAACAGTGAGGTGTGGGTCAGCAAAGAAATTAACGGCATTAATACCGAGGATAGATTGTATGATTTATGCAGAAAATTCATGATTGAACGCTTTAAAGTAACCAATCTTGAAAAAGAACAATTGGAAATTATACAACCTGGTAGGAATCTATGCATTTTATTTATAGAATTGACCTTTCTTTTAAAAGAAAAAACTTTAAATAACTTGTGTAATATATTCTTTTTTTTTAGTCAAACCAACCATCATTACACGAAAGCATATCATTATCCGTTATATTCGTAAACTTATTGGTCATCAGAATGATAATGGTTGTGTTGTTCTAAATAAAAAGGTTGCTGATTATTATGGCTTCAAAAGTGTTGAGGAATTTTTACAACACTTGAGAAAATACTTTAAAACAGAGCGTGTCACTAAACTTCATCATAATGTCTGGGTAACTGCGTGCACAATTTGGTACCTACGTTTAATTGCTGTTGATCATCGACATGAATGGATCGCTAATTACGAGAAATCATCCAAATGGCTAACAAGACAATGCAATGGAGATACTAATCTTGAGAATGAAATAATGGAATGTGGCAAGAAATTCATTGTAGAAAGGTATGAAGTTGATAAAGAAGCTATTGAAGCTGATTATAGCTTCATTGCAGCTGTTAAAACCAAAGATGAGGCAATTAAACAAGAAAAGATTGCAGAGAAGAGACGAATGACA